AAAGTATCTATTAAAATTGATACTACAGATCTTGAATTTGAACAAGTAGTAGAAAAAGTAATATCAATGATAGTTTGATATGTATTTCATATCAAATATGATAAATTCTTTAAAGTTTTGTTTGTTTTTATTATTATTTTTATTTACAAATTAATAAATATCTATATCTAATCAGTATATTCAATACTGATTAGATTTTTAAGTACGTAACAATTCAAGAAAAAAAAATGTCAAAAAGAAAAATTGATGAAGTTAATAGAAAAGTTGAAGAACAAAATAGTTCTTTGATATTACCTGAAAAAGTTATTAAGAAAAAGAAAACAAAAAAAATCAAAAGAGAAAAATTCAATTATGAAGAATTGAAAAAATATATTGATATAAAAGGAAATTAGGAGTTAATCAGTGAAGTTGATCATCAAGCTCTTATTCGAGCTTTACAAATTTAGAAGAATGTTTAGATTTTATTAAAAACTATAAAAAATATTTACTCACAAAAAATGAGATTTTTTCAGATATTGAAAAAAAGTTGTCAACAAATAGAAATCATTTATTATTTAATGAAATTAAAGAATTCAAAAAGAAAAAATTTGAATGGCCAAAGAAAGATGTGATGTCATTATATCAAAAATTATGTAAATCTGAAGAAGAGATTATTGAAGAATTAAAATCTGAATCTGATTTAGATGAATCTGAAAATGAATGATTTTTTTTTTTTATAATAAATGTATTATTTATATCTTTATAATCTATCTAGTCTTTGATTGACCTAATAGAATTTTATCTATGTAAAAAAAAAATAAAATTTCTTCAAAACAATCTTAAATCATTATCGAGTTCAGATTTTATCACAAAAGATCAATATAATTTTCATATTGAATATTATAAAGATTTTGTTTATGTACGAAGAAGTTTGAGAAAACAAAGATATAATCTAATATATAATTTTTCACAAAGAAAAAAAAATAAATGACAAAAAAGAATTTAAACAAAACAAATGAGAATTAATTATAGATTATTAAGAAAAAGATTTCTCAAAATTACAAGAACAATCGAATGAAATTCCAATTTATCTTAGTAATGATGATTTACCTACAGCAGAAAATGCTTTATAATTAGCTCTAAAACAAGAACAAGAAAGACAAAATTTAGAAAAAAGAAAAAGAGATTCTGAATTTGAATCATTACATACTGAATTATCTTTGTCTACTTAATCATCTTTTACTACAGATGATGGATTTGTTGTTAAAGATAATAATCCTTTTAGATATATAGTTAAACAAAATGTTATAATTAATCAAGTTAATAATTTAGTTTTTAGTGATGAAGAACTTCATATGGATAATAGTAGTAATGATGTAATTAATATTATATCTGATCAGACACTTATTGTGCCTGATTAGAATTTTATTTACATAATTTACAACAAAATAGCTTTGTATCAAGAATATTTTGGTTTTAAAACAAAGCTTGAAAAAGCAACAAATGATGAGAAAGATATAAAAATTATATTACTATGTTGAATAGTTTATCAAAAGATGAATTGATAGTTGGATCAGTTTTAGATGATGTTGTTAGAAATTATAATAGATATCTTAACAATAAGATTGTTTGTGAAAGTGGTTTAAAAACTTATAAATTTAGAGAGTATACGTTATGTGTATTATTTAATTCAGCTAAAAATATATATATTTCATTATGTCATAAAATTCCTGGTGCTAATTATAATAGAAAATACCAAGTTACTGGAGGTAAAGTAGATTTTATTGATAGAAAAAAGAAAGATTATTTTCTTGAGTATGCAAAACATAAAGCATTAGAAGAATCAGGAGTTATTTTAGGTAATAATAATTTGATTTATGTTGTAATAGAAGAGAATTCCAGAATATTTCCAAAGAGAGAAACAGAAGACATTTACAGAATTGCTGTATATATTGCTAATATAGGAGATATTACTCTACAATGTAAAGAACCTGACAAAAATAGTGAATAGTATCCTGTTGATTTCAATGAGATGAGAAAATTGCGAAATGAAGGATGTTTAACTGAAACATTAGAACAAAACTTGAGGAAATTATTGCTCATATCAATAATTATTTAAAAGCAAAAAATAGATGTAAACCAAAAAGAAAAAGACTTAATTTTAATGATTCTGAAAGTCCTAAAGAAGAAATTATTAATGAAGTTATTGAAAATTGTGAAGTAGTAGAAAATTGTGTTGTGATAAATTGTGATAGTATAAATTGTAATGATATTAACAATAATAGTATTAATCATACTGAAGATGAGAAAATCGAAGAGGAGATTCTTAAAATAGTTCAATAGTTTTTTATTTTTATTTTTTTTATTATATTAAATAAATATAATCTGTTCAGTGAGTTAATCACTGAACAGAATTTTAACAATATAATTCTATAAAAAATGAATTTAGAAGAAGCAATCTATGATTCTATTTATTATTAAGATAGTAAAATATTAAAAAAATTTTTATCTGATTATAATGAATCTGATGAAGATTTGATTAAAAAAAGTAGTAATATTTATGAAGAATATATAAATGATACAGATCTTATATCAGCAGTAAACAATGAGACTATGAGATATTACTTGGAAGAAAAAAAGAAATTGAATGAATATCTATACAAATACAAAGCAAAACATAATTAAGAAATTATTATCAAGAAGAAAGAAAAATTATAAGAACTTGTAGGGAAAAAGGAATTTACTATAATTAATATAAATTTTTCTGAGTATAAATCTACAATTATTACTATTAATAAGAAAAAGCTTATAAATATGTTGGTAATTAATGATGAAAAGAAAAGAAAATATTATTACAAAATAATTGTATTAGAAGAAAATGACAACATCATTTTTATTTAGGATATATTATTTTATTTTTATTTCATATATAAATTATTTTTAACAAACATAATTTGTTCAGTGAGTTAATCACTGAACAGAATTTTAACTTTAAATCTTTATGATAGTTGTAACAAAGGTAAGATTTTTATTAATCTTACTTAGTATTAAGATTTTGTGAACGCTATTATAGAATATTATTTTTCTTAATTCTGAAATTTGATATGTAAAATCGATAGAATATCAAATTAGGACAAGAATAGATATTTGAAAGTATGATATTTTTCTGATTTGGTGAAAAGATTCTATTTCAGTTGAAATACTGTGACTTTTATAGTATGATTCTGATATAATAGAATCTTGTAAACACTGCCAAAGATATTGTTTCTCTTGATTCTGAAATTTGATATAATATCAAATCAGGACAAGAGTAGATATTTTTTTAAAGAAAGATATCATATTTAATGAAAAGATCTTATGGATTAAACCTATTTGTTAAACATAGTGAAATTTTATAATATGATGCAGATGTACTAATATATTTTTTTTATTAAATAGAAAAAATCAACAAAAGAGAAAGGAGATGATTATGAAGCAGATCTTGTAATTGAATTAGTTAAAAATAGTATTGAAGCTATTTAACTAAAACATATATTAAAAAGGATAATTAATTCATACCAATTGAAGATGGAGGTATTGATATATTTAGAAAATTTGGAACAATGAATTATATAATGCAAGCAAAATATAGGACTAAGATTGATGATAATGAAGTATATCTTAGTCCTAAAGATATTAGAGAATTTGCTGCAGTTTTGATGAAACAACCTGATAGTACTGTTAGATTTTTTTTATCAAATGCTATATTTTCAGCTAGATCTAAAAATTATACAGCAAATTCAAAACTAAATTTGATACTATATAATAAGGAAAATATTGTTGAAAGAATCAAAGAAACTCAATTAAAACTTAAAAAAAATTTAAAAGAAGAAATTTTTATTGAGGATATAACCACTGATGAGAAGACAAATACTGATATATTTGGTATTAAGATCAATGGTTGTATCAGAATTGGTCAAATATATTCTAAAAATAATAGGAAAAAAAACAAACTATATTGACTATATTTTATTTTAAATATATATAATCTATTTAGTGAATTTATCACCAGGTAGAGTTTTTTAAACGTAATCTTAAAATGTCTAACAAAGAATTTTGTAAAACAAAAAAAAGAAAACATAATGAAATTGAAAATATAGAAGATGAAGCAAAAAATATTATTCTTCAAGAAGAACTTGAAAATAATTATCATAAAATTGAACAAGAATTAACTAGTGAAAAATGGTTTATAGATTTAGTAGAAGAAAAAGCAAGAAACAAATTGAGACAAAAGTATCCTGATATTTTATTTGAAAATAACAGAATTAGTATTAAAAAAAGAAAAAAGTCTAATATAAAAAAAATAGTTCTTACTGGAACTATTGGAGCAGGAAAAACAACTTTTTCTTCGTTTATGTCAAAATATTTCGAGAAAAAAGGATTGAAAGTATTTATTCCAGAAGAGATTTCTCTTAAGATCAAAGATGATTTAGATCTTTTCTGTAAAGATAAAGAGAAATATGCATTCTTTTTTCAAAATTTGATTATTAATACATACAAAAAGATAATAGAAAGTATTGACTCTGCAACTGATGATTATGATATAATTATTTTTGATCAAACTTATCTTGATACAGAAGTTTTTAATAATATTAATTCTGATGATGATCTAAAATCATTTTACTAGAAAACAAAATGTGAAATAATTGATTTATGTAATTTTGATTATATGTTTTACGTAAAGAGTTCTGAAGATACTTTGATTAAAAGACAGAAGGAAAGAAACAGAGAAGAAGAAACATATACAGAAGAGTATATGTGAAAAGTTTATAGAGAATATGAAAGAATTATCAGTAAAATGTATCCAAAATATATTGTATTTGATACAGAGGAAGATGTATATCTGAAAGATAAAGATGTATATGTATTAGATGAAGATGGTAAAAAGAAAATTAACAAACAAGTTCTCAATAATTATTATCGAATATTTGATAGAGTAATAGTTCAAACTATACTTACTAGCACTTTTTAAAATATAAATTATATTTTATTTAAATTTTATAAATATTTATCTACTTAGTACAATTGTATCAAGTAGAATTTTATATTCGTAAATGTCTTTAATAAAAAATACTCAAATAAAAAATTATTCTAATATTTTTAAAAAACCAAATATTGGTAAACGTTCTGATCTGTTTAATGAAAAACCAATAGTAGATTATTTTTCATATATAATGCTACTGATTCTAAAGATAAAAATAATGATATATAATAAAATTACATGCAGTTCGAACTGATGGAAAAAAGATCAGTATTGATTTGATAATTGGTGATATTTTTTTTGATATTAGATTAAATGATGAAGAATTGATTGATGAATATGTTGATGAGTTTAAAGCAGATAGTTATGATATTTTTGAGAAGCAACCATTTGATTCAACAAAGAGACATAAATTTATATGATTATATTTTAAAGACTATACTTTCTGTAAAAAAGCACTTGAAAAGATAAAAAAAATTGAAGATAATCTAAGTAAAGAATTTGAAGAAGTAAAAAAATTATTAAAAGATGAAAAGAATATATGTGAACAAATAGAAGAATTTTGGAAATGCTATAATACTTATTCTGATAATTCTTCATGTCATTATAGAAAAATAGCACGTGAGAATGATTTTGAGATAGTAAAATAGCATAGATTATTAAATCCAGATATTATGCTTACTGAATTTATCAGTATAAAGCTATCAGATATTGAAAAGATAGATTACAATGAACAACCAAAACTTCTCATATTATCATGGGATATTGAAACTAGTAGTACACGAGAACCAGGTTATTTTCCTGTAAGTGAACAAAAAGAAGATTATGTAAATATAATACAAGTTGATCTTTATTGGTTATCTGTAATAGAACCTATTAAATGTTATTGTTTAACTTTGATATATGTTGATAAAGAATTATTTGAAAGAACATATCAAATACCAATGAATAATTTTGAGTTTATATACTGTAAAACACAAGAAGAAATAATATTAAAATTTGCAAAAATAGTGAGAAATTACAGACCAGATATTGATTATAGATACAACATCTTTGGATATGATTAGAATTTTATATTAAAAAAGTAAACATATATGAGTTAGAAGATGAATTTATACAAAGATTATTAGGTAATATTGCACCTATTAATTATAATATTAAATAAACAAAAATCAAAGTATTTGAGAAAAATATTGAAGAGAAGATGACTAAATATTCATATGCTGGTCTAAATATAAATAATTGAAATATAAAATTTAATTCAAATAAAACAATGGACTGTGAATATTATTATATATCAGGAACTATAAATATAGATTTGTTGGTATGAGCAAAAAAAACATTTCCAACTGAAATAATAAATACTTTAAATGCAGTTCTTGTGAGATGTGGTCTTAAAGGGAAAATAGATTTGCCATATATTCTAGATGAAATATCTTTTAAGGAACATGATAATTTACGTTGTATATTCATATATATGAATGTAGTAAAATTCAAAAATCATTTTAAAATATTAAAGCATTTAGCAGAACAATTATTAAAACTCTGCAAATTTATCAGTTATGATAGATGTTTATCAGAATTTCTTGTAGATAATAAGACACTTGAGAGATATGCTGTTGATATTGCATATTATTGTTCAGTTGATTCAATACGTTGTCAAGAATTAATGATAAAGAGAGATATAATAGGAAACTACATACAATTTGCTAAATTAATATGTGTAACTATTTCTAATGTATTTATGAATAGTGTTGGATATATGGTATGTAATTTTTATAGAAGATATATATCAAAACATGATATGTTAATTTCAATGAAATGAAAAGGTATTATAAAGATTAGTAGTAAATATGAAGGAGAATTAGTATTAGAACCAGAGGAATTTGATATTACAGATCTTAATAAATATCTGAACGAATATTTAGAACTATTGAAGATGCCAATTAAAGATTTAATTAATTATCTCAATATATTAGGTATTCAGTTGCTAGTTGCAGATTTAGATTTTATATTGATGTATCCTAGTGCTATAATTACACAAAATATATCTAAAGATACAAATGTTGATATCAATATACAAGATGAAGATATGAATACTATAACAGATAGAGGTGTTATTTATAGAAAATTTAAGAAACATTATAATAATCCAAAAAAATGGGATTGATGCCAATGATAAAACATATCATCATATGGGTATTAATAATTCAGATATAGTTAATTTAGAAGAGTTTGACAATGTAAAGAAAGAAGTTGAAAATACTATTACAAGTTCTGCATATATTATTTCCTCTTTTACTTCTGATGAAGAGTCAAAAAAATATAAAGAATCAGATAATTTTAAATATATTATTAATTGTGAAGCTATATGACAATATCATGATTGGATAAAACTATAATTATTATATTATTTTTAATAAATATTTTTAATTGTTTAATAAGTTAATACCAAGCAATTTTTTAATTATTCAATCATGAGCAACATTTATTTTGATATTTGGTATCAGATTTTCTTTTATCTAACTTTTAATAAACAAGCAAAATTGAGAAGAATATGTAGATTATTTAATGATGTATGTTCATCTTATGATATAAATGAAGTAAAACATAGATTTTATAAGTTTGTAAATGAGTAGAAAGTGTTAATTTACAGATTCAAACTTACTAAAGATAAAAAATATGTATGGATTAAAAATGGAGACAAGATGGTTAAAAGAGAATTATTTTGAAACAAAGAAGTAAATTATTGCTATAGAGGTGTTAATCAAAGTTCAATTTTGAATATATGTGATCTTAATAAAGTAGAAGAGTTACATATGAAACATTGTGATTTTTGTGCTGATTTTAATTATTGTTGTTATATATCTCAACCATTACATGAATATGGTTTTTATTTTCATTGTGATATATATAAAAAGATAGAAATTCATATTCATAACATATGTAAAAAATACTTTGAATCAAGTTATTCACAAACTCTTGAATTTGTAAAAGAAACAATTGTTGTTGAATAACTAGATTTTTATTTACAAAAAATGATTTTAATATTTTCTTTACTTTTTCTTTAAAAGAAAATCTTCTAAATATAAATAAATTATTTTAATTAAAGAAAATATTATTCCAATAAATGATATTGAAGTATGTATAAATTCATTATCTTGTATATAAAATGATAAAGTTACTAAAATAAAAATCTGAATCATATATTTTTTAAAATTATATTCTGATATTTTTTTATGTTGTTTGATTATATCAATAGATATTTCTTTAATAGTTTCTTTAAGAAGTTTATTCTTATATTCCAAGATTTTATTATCAAGAATTAAATTTGTATTTTAGTTTATATAATATCTTGTTGCAGGATATATTTTTTTCATCTTTAAAAATTTAAATATTTTTTATAAGTTATATTTATAATTATTTTTTAATATAAATAACTTTGATTTTATCCTTTGTTTGAAATAAAATGAAATTTTTAAATTATATATTATTTGAAAATAATATGATTGGTATTAGAGAATATGTTGAGATTGATAAATTTTACAATAAAAATTAAAAATCACAGCGAATAATAAATTATATAAAATCTAATAATAATTTTAAAATAGATGAGTTTGAAAAATATCTTACTATGATAGACAAATGAAAATTATGTAAAAGTTCTATAAATAATAACAATAATTATATTTACAAGTTACAAATTGAATATATTGAAGAACTTCAGACAATAATATTGACAGAACATATAACAAAAACAAATTCTAAAATAATATTTATCAAAAAGTATATATTTTATTAATTTATTATTTATAATCTAAAAATTTATAGTTTAAAAAATTATTTAAAGACTCGATTTTTTCTTTCTTTTTTTTTTTAAAAAAAAAAATCAAAACTGAAATTTCTCAAAAAGGTTTGAGAGCTTCAAACTGTATATTGTTTGATCATTTGTTTTTCTTACTTTGTACTAACTCTTACTTTTCACTAACTTGATACTTCACTTTTATGTGATGTGATTATCCTGATATTCATAATTGTAATTCATTTAATTAATTATTTATGTTATAGTTCCAGATGCCTAAAATATTAAATAAATATTATGCTATTCAAGTTGGATACAAAAAAGGAATTTATAAAAATTGGAAAGATTGTAAAAAACAAATTCATAAATATCCTGGTGCCTTGTATAAAAAATTTAATACAAAGAAACAAGCTAAAAAATATAATAATGAACAAAATCAAGAAAAAAATGAAAACTTTGAACAAATTTGGACAGATAGATATTATGAAAATAATGGAAAAATAGATGCATATGCTAGAATTGGAGTTTTTTTTAAAGATAATAATCTTAGAAATTTATTAGAGAAATTATCTGGTACAAAACAAACAAATAATAGAGCAGAGATTTTTGCAGTTATTAGAGCAATTGAAATTTCTAAAAATGATCAAGATATAATTATCAATACAGATAGTATCTATATAATTAATAGTTATAAAGTAAAAAATCCAAAGAAAAATTTTGATCTAGTGAATAGAATGAATGATTTGATAAAAGAAAGAAAAGGAAAAGTAATTTTTAAACATGTAAAAGGTCATAGTGGTATTTATGAAAATGAGCAAGCAGATAGATTTGCATATTTAGAATCACAAAAATCTCATGTAAAACTTTCTTTTGCTAAAAGAAAAGGAACAATAAAAGATTATTTTAAAAAATAAATTTTTATTAAAATATTTGAATTTAAAATTATTTATTATAAAAAATTAGTAGATCATATGTTCTCTACAAGATTTTGGATGAGGTAGGAACTGAGTCCATAGCAATGATTACATCAATGATGTTATCATACTAGGGGAATCCAATATCAATATAAGAACAATGATCATTTACTTTATTACCATATGAAAGAAAGTACGTTGGGAACAGCGACAGTACAAAAAAAAACAAATTTTTATTAAATTTTTTTAAATTGACTCTGAAAAATAAAAAACTATATAAATTCAATGTTTTATTTTTATTAAAAAAAATTTTTTTTTTTCATCAGAAAAACAATTTTTAACAATGAATCATTTTGATATTCAATTAAAAAAAAGAGAAATATATGAATATAAAATTCTTAAATTGCTTAGAGCAAATAGTATTAAATGCTATATTCATCATTTGTTTTATGAAATTAATAATAAAAAAAAATTTATAGATGATGGTGGAATAGATTTAACTAGAAATTATAACGAAGTATTTTTTGCTATTCAAGCAAAGTATAGAAAGGATCATCATAATGAACAAGCTGAAAATATTGAGAAATTTGATAAAGCTCTTGAATCATAATCTAGAGAAGTAGTAGGATTTTTTGTAACAACTATTGATTTTTCAACTGAATCTAAAGAAGCAGCATTAAATTCTAAA